TTGCTTTAAGTGTCAGTAATGACATGAACTCTTATGCAAGAAATAAAGAATCACCTAGACAGATTCTTTTATCTAAATTAAAGACTGACATTTAAGTTAGGTCAAGGTATTACAGGGTCACGCAAGGCAGTAAAGAAGTAAAACATACCCATTTGGAATCTGCTTATAAACTGCCTCTGGCAAGACAAAATTTTACTGAATGCCACTTATACCAAAAGAACCAATAACCTGTGGGACCACGGGAGCTGCTTCTGTCTGACAGTGGTCAGCAAAGCTGACAAAGCATTCACGGAGGGGTACAGAACATCCCAGGAAAGCACACTGTAAACCACACTCCCAACTTCGCCCCCTGAAATAAAAGGTAAATCTTGGGCAGGAGTCTGTCTCTTTCCAGCATGCCTTACAGGGCAGCAGAGCCATTTGCCAGCCCACAGACAAGGACATAAATGAAGGAACAATTCCATATTGTGACTTTCAAACGTTTTCTTTCAAAACAAACATGTCACTTCTCCTAATTTTAAACAACGATTTCTTAAAAAGCAGTTCCATTTACTCTCATTTTTCTTTAAGTGAAGGACTCTGGAGAGAACTCAAAAAGTCCTCAAGATACACAAATGATATTTAGGTTGTTTTGAGGAAGTGGCTTCTGATGGATCCTGGAAAAAACTACAGCTAATGAAAACCAAAAAGAGTCCAGCTACCACACTAATAGATCTGTGTTGAAGAGGACAGAATCTGGCTGAAATGTTACCTGGCTTTGGGAACTGTGCAGACAACTCAAGTCCCTGACAGAGGTGGGATTAAAAGTGATTTGGCTGGAGAGCTGAGTCCTGGAAGAGGCAAACTACTAGTCGGTGGGGAAACATAGGGCTATCAGACTATCCACTGTCAGGAACAGGTGCACTATGCAACAGGAAATCCTCCCAGAAAGCCAGACGTGAGGTACTTTAAAGTGGAAGGCTCCAAGGAGCCTTCTGAAAATCCTGTCCCTTTCAGATGATAATCCTTACAATAAAACAGATCTATATAAAATAATTTTAAAATTCATAATTACTACATACTAATATAGGTAACAAGACTATCCAGCATTATCCTAGTTAATGACAATATTAATTCTTGCTAATTAACTGAAGCCAAATCCTTTTTGCTGGAGCCAACTACTTAAGGAACTGTTTTCTTACCCATTTTTGGTTGTTTTTTTTTAAAAAAAACACTCCTAAATACTAGATTTAACAGCTTTGGACACAAGAGACCTTAAGTCTGGTCCACTGTCTCACCTTCTACATAATCCTATGAAATAATGTGCCCAGTCAAGAATTTTCACACTTTCCCTTACAAATGGCTGTCACTGAAAACAAAAAAATCTAGGTCTGTCTTTTCAGACTGCATTCTTTCTTTCTCTCTTTTGTACTGCAGGCCATGCCTTTAGGCACAGCAGAAGAATCAAAGACAATCCATCAAGAAAGAAGACGGCAAGCAAGAGAAATAGCAGAAAGAACGGCAAAAATGCGAGCAGTCTTTATTTCACATTGTTCAGTCACCGGATTTTCCCTGGGGAAACCTCTCACGCACAGATGTAGTCAAACAACAATTTCATTCTCAAAACGGCATCATTCCTTCAAAATTATAAACTCACGGGCTATAAGGTTCAAGGCTGATTTTGATTTTTGCACACAGTACAGATTATTATGCTATTCGGTTATTTTGTGTTTCATCCGAAGTACTGTTAGCCTTCTTCAGAAGAATAACATGCAGGATGAACCAATGCTTTCTGTTCTGTCCCTGTAAATGTAGCCTTCTTCAAGTTTTCCTCCAATGAAGCAGAAGAACAGCTGCCAACACTGGGCTATGTAATTCCATTCAGAATTGCACAACACTAGTGAACATTTTTGCTCTGCTTAGCTCAAATGCCTTTAGACATATGGAATATGCCTGCTTTAAAGAGTTAGCCAGATTTTCATAAAAACATTGTACTTGGATAACGAAATCCTAATATTTACAGGCACCAATGGCAAACAGGAGGCTGACACAAACAAGGAATGCTCCCACTCAAATCACATAAGCATTCTGAAATACAATGAGAAATACTGTAGATATCAAATAATATTTGCTTTTTATTTTCAAGAAACACATGCCACTATATTTTGAGCTGAATCAACCATTACCTTTTTCCTCTTCTGATAGCTCCTCTATGGGCTCCAGCATATGCACCAAGGGTGCCTGCTCTAGTAACGAGGAAGAACAGGAACACCAAACAAACAGGACAAAAGAAGGTCAAGGTCCAGAGTGGGAAAGCCAGGCAAAAAAACCACACTGATGTCAACTTTCCTGATTGCTGACAACCTGCTTAACAATCACAAACCCAATGCAACGTGCCTCTTCACTGCCTTGGTGGTACTGCCTTTTTGTAGAGGTGACCCTAATACAATAGTCACTTCAGGAGTGATTCAGTTGCCCAAACATGGGTGTTTAATGTCATCTTGGATATATCAGAGTTTTAAGCCATCAGCACAGGGCTTGCTGATAGGTCACACAACTACAGAAAAACCCATGTCCTTCTAGAATGGCACCTAGCGACCAGATGGGATGTTTTTAGGCATCTACAATGACAAGGCCACCTAGGATTAAGCAAATTAATACTGTCATTCATTTCTTGTAAGAAGCATTTTAAATTTTAAATTTATTTTCAAATATTGTTTATGTGCAATTTGATACTAAAAGTTTATAAAAGGGAAGTGAAATGGACAGACATAAAAACCCCCAAAAATACATGGAGAAAATATTTCAACTCATTATTCCAGAAAAATATTAAGTACTGAGTCTGCATGTGCAAAACAGAGAGAAGTTTTATATATATATTTTTATATATATATGATAATTTCCAATAAAACCAATGTAAAAGATCTTCTATCACTTCAACAAAGTGAGATTCAGTATTATCATGTGCTTTAAAGAAATCTTGACATGTCCTCTGCAGAAAACAGTTTCCCAAACACATTGAAATTACCGTTCAATAGGCTGTCAGGTACAATTTGCTTTCTATAAATGAAGCCTGAGTACAGTTTATTTACAACTTTACAGACTTCAGATATAAGAGCCCCATGAAAATGTTTATATGTAGACTAACAAAAATTCAGGGTTTTAAAATGTTAATATTCACCTTCCATAAATTACTCAATGAAAACTATAATGTGAGTTTCTTCTAGGGTTTATGATAAAAACAGAGATGTGCAAACTACACTTTCAGCATTCAACTACTGGTAGTATAGGAGAAAACTATTCATTGACCAATATTTCGGGCCAACATACATTTGCCCCAGCCTTCACAAGAAACCTTTGGCACCATAAATCGTTGTTACACTGTATAGGTAGAAGGGGAGGAAGTGATGCTGCAGTCAAGATGCCTGTTCTTCAGCAGTTCTCATACAATTAGGTACAAATCACAATGAAATGAGCGCTTGGAGCTTACTGTCACATCTCCAGTATTCCTCATGTGAAGGGGACTAAAACTGGTGGTGTAAACGCTTGGGTATGGTATCTGCTTTCTCTGTGCTTATGGTTACATTCAGCCTCTCACCTGCTTTTCCATGCACGTTACCAGACTTAAGATTTGCTTCCATATAACTTGCGCTACATAAGAAGTTCTAAAAAAATGGTTCTTACACCATCACAACATGCTAACAAGATGCAAACGTCAATGTATTTTATGGAAACACTTAAAAGCAAAACTCGAAGAGGCAAATAGGCTTCTGGTCTTTCAGACTCTAAGGCTGTAAAATTTAACAATGGCCACAGCATTCCTAGGCACTGGAACACGACCCTCCACACTATTGCTCCTGGCATGCTGTTGCCCTGCACCAGCTAACACTCTCCAAAACGATGGTCAGGCACACTCTGGGATCATTCCCAAAAGCCTGCAGCGAGTCTGTTTTACAGGACAGAGCCTGAAGCACAGATGAGATGTTCTGGGGCAATAAAATTTAGCTGTACAGGCACTGAGACTTCCAAGTTTCTCGGCTTGACCTACCAGACAGTAGGCCAGTTGCTCTGTAATTTGATTTAATCCGTACTTGTTTTACCTGTACTTTACTCAAATGCAATCTGCTTAAAAGAGCTGACTCATCTCTGCACATGCCCTTGTCAAGTAACTTAATTTGACAGGAAAAGCCCAGTCCCCAGAACTCAGACCTGAAGAATCTGCTGGTCTGGCATAAAGGTACACGCTTTGGAGTTGGCAGTGCTCGGTTAACAGTTGAACTTGATGTAGCCACTGCGTTGAAGGGCTCCGGAGCGGCGGGTGGCGCCGG